TATTCCGAGTGATCAACAGTGAAATAAATGAAATGAAGCGTCATTGAGAAAAGGTGCGCGAAATTGCGATAATTCAAATAAGGCCCGGCGCAGTTTCAAAGTCGCGATAAATCATACTTAGCTTTGTTATGCGGACAGGTTTGATTTACCGAGGTATTTACAGTGCGGTAACTCGAAAATTGTGATTTACACGTGGTTTCCCTAGCGCTGGCAGACGCATAAAACACTATAACGCACGCGGCCTCTTCCTCAATTCCTCAGCTAATACTGATTAATTATGGCATCGAGGAATCGGTGCCGAAATTAAGCGCAAAATTATTAACATTAATCCTTTCCCAACCAGATTACACCTCGAATTGAACGCACCGAAAGTATTAACATATTTAAATAATTCGATAATTATTATATTCGTACGTCGTGCATTTGTAATCAATAATAAACCAATAACGGCTGAATACTCGGTTGATAAGATCGCCAATTGACAAGACCGAAATCGATATGGCGCGGCAATTCTTTGCGATCGCGAGGATTATAAGGTCAATAGAAAACTATTGTCGAGGGACGCGTCTTTTCAGCTCGAGAGCACTCTTTGCAATCGATGTACGCTCGCGGAAAAGGAACGAGGCCGATTGTTTGTTGCGGATGACCGACGCCGACTTCCACAGCAGTCAAAGATGCTGGAAACGCAATAGAATCGGAGCTCTCTTTTTCGTTATCGTCTCATTCGAGACCGAGAGTGTTCGCACGCGTATTTCGCCTTTCGCATCACGTTGGTAGAGCGAGCTCGCGTGCGCTGCCTGAGAATGTCGGGACTATTGCGGGTCGTGCGAGTTGACGAAATTGGCCGGTTGAGCGTATACGCGGACAGTGACGTCGGTCGGTGCGATGCATCAAAATTGGCCACATGGAGAACGTATATCTGGTGAACACGGGATGGTGAATAGCTCAATGAAAAATCGCGCGAGTCTGGCAATTGACTTGCACAAATTACTGAGTGCGTACAATTAATTCAATTGAAGAAAATGAAAAACATACTATAAGGCACACGTGCGAAATGTATACTAAAAAAATAGTTTTCCCAAGAAAAAAACAGAGGGATGAAAGATATAGAATCGTAGAACATAATAAAATGGTGAATAACGAGGCGGATGTCTTTATTGCACTAGCAATAACGAAGTCGTTTTCTTAAGCATCGTTCATTCAGCGCGACACGTTGGACGTCTTCGTTATTACATCGGCAATTAAAACGAGATATCCGTGTCTCCGTCGATATGCACGATGGGCGAAAGGGGTCACCTGGCAAGCCCGGCTCTCGACAGTAATTGGAGCGCGAAGAGTCAAGTTGTATTTCCAGAAGGATAACGGTCGTCAAACAAGAATCCCCGTCCCACGAGCGCGTGGCGTATCGTAATCGATGAAATCTCGATAGGCAGCCTCGGTCTGCGTAGTCTTTTATCTGCTCATTATGAGCTCTCGTAGCGTTACAAAGGATTTCGCCTCCTTACGTAACAATGTCCTGCGCTCGTTTCTTGGATTTTAAAGAGGTCTCCGGCCGAGAGCACTTTACCCGAGCTCGTTGAAGGCTTTGATCTTGAATTAATGTAAGTCAACCGGTGTGGGCACAGCGATAATCGTCCCATCTATATCGAATCGATTCCACCGTTCCAGTCGATGTTCACTGCAACGACGAAAAGAAATTCTCCTCGGGCATTTGTTCTTCCCGCTTTCAGGAACCGTAAGAATCCACTACCGGAGAATCCGTCTTCTCCCTTTATCTCTTTCCTCTTTTTTTTATGCACGGATCATATTAAGCTTCCCTAAAGTGTGTCTTCTCGATAATAGGGCAAGTTATTTATTTTAATTTAACGTCCGCAGACGAGCGAACAAGATTTATTCTCGTTTGTTCGCTTGCGATTGCGATTGTATTCCCTTCAATAGGCATTTAAGCATTGAATTTAATTAAGCTCTAGCAAAGTACAGCTTCCTGTGCGGTTTCGATTCGACTCGAGATTTCCAATACACTGACAGGTTAAATCGTAACCATCGATGAGCTTCCGGCGAACGCTGACAGTAAACACGATTTAGAAATCAAATATCCATCCACGACCCTGATAGCGGGTTAAGTTAATCGGTAAAATAAACACAAGTGATATCGATATTGCCGATGTCGAGATACGCTTGGCATGGAAATGAGGTTGCTCGAGGACAGAGTACACGTGATGTGTGATCTCGCAATGAACGAGTGTAAAAACAGAAATGAAAGACACACGATTCCGACAGGTATTTCATTTAGATATTGCGAAAATGTAACCAAGTTAGCCTTAAAATTTAACCGAAAGGAAAAAATATGATCCAAAGTACGAGTATTGTGGGAAGAATGTGCACCCTCAGAAAGGATTTCTGTTACCGAGACAAAAAATATAAAAAAATATCATAACTATGATTGGCGCTATACCAATCCTATTTTATGATATATTAAAGTGTAACAGCATTGGATCCGGAATTTTTTTCTGTGGGTGTGTGAACGGGTGAACAGGTTGTTTGTACATCTTGAGATTAATAACGGTTTTCGACGCTGACCGGAAATTTTTGGAGAGCACTCGCGAGAGACGGTTAGCGCACGCGCCGAGCGGATGTCTAGAAGCGCCGCGTCCCAAGTTTCGAGGCAAACGCCACACACCTCTCGAGCAGAATTGATTTCGAACTAGGTTACGCGGCATACATATGAATGAATCCGCGCCTCTTTTTGAACGTCCAACTCTGCGGTGCTTGGCGATTCATAGATTAAGTAAAGCACGGGCCGTGGAACACGTCCGTATATACTAGAACGCCCCGCACCTCGACGCATTCCTCTCCTTCGTCGGGGCGGACGTACACTTCACCCAATAAATCTGGCCCCGGCGCTGTATGATCCTCGGCGAGTTTCACACAAGAACGATAAATCCGGACGTCGCATTCGAAAGTCGGTCGATCCCGATACCGAGTACGTTCCCTCCCTTTCTTGCTACCGACTAAGCAGCTGCATCGCTGTATAAACTGACGTGCATTACCAATTCAATTGTTACAAAGTATTATGTCCCAGCGTTTCTTAAGCGTCTTTCGCTTTTCGTAAGAAAATGCGATTGATCGTTTAAAGCTTGCCTCAAATTAGTTAATGGATCCCAAACATTACCATTAAACTTTACTCGGAGCCACTGAATAATTTCTCTTGCTGTACCTTCAATCTTTGCTAAAATAACATTAGATTCTGCCTCTAATTTATTAATGAATCGTAAAGATTTTCAAAGTTAAATAACGTATTTTTTTAATGCCTCTCAGATTATATCAATTTGTAATGCGATAAATTACGGCGAATAATTAATCTTTAATACCGGAACGATAAAATGACGCATTAACACGCGCGTGCGAGAAAATTATAAGAGTCAATGTTAACTCTGTCATATATGTATGTCTCGGTAACTATGAATTGGTGGGAAAGCATCGTGAATAATCCAAGCGATCTAATCGCTCCCACGAGACGCGAGCAAAAAGAGACGACTACGTGAGTTATGGCCGAGGCGAATCTTTCCCTCGCTTACCCCTAGAGTCATATCCTAATCCTTAGCGATGAATTCGTCTACCGTCATATCGTCTCTCGTATGTATATGTGACGTCCGCTTAACGCATATATCGAGCGTCGTGAAATATTTCCCATTAGTGATTAACGAGAGACTATACCTCGTGACGAATGTGCTTCAAGAGAAAGTTTGATAATATAGCAACGCGATCGAAACGCGATAACGAGATAAAACAAACGGGATTCACCCCATTAATTTTCGAGTACACGAGAATTACGTGGTTTTGCTTTTACAAGTTTCCGCTCGCTCGTGGAAAAAGCTGGTCGAGACGCGAAATCAATCCGAATTTTATCGGCGCCACTCATAATGCCACGCTCTGTAATCCTATTTGCCTTGCGCAAAGCTCCGCAGCTGCCCTAATTGCACAGCCGCCACAACGACCAAATATTATACGTCTATATACATATATATATATATATATAGGTATATATGTATATATACATGTATATACTAAAGGCACCTGCATACTTCGTTCAATGGCATTGTCGAGAGACCATGGTGTCGCGCTGGTGCCCGAGTGCACTTCCGGCGGTAACCCCCACAGTTTGCCCGGGACAGGTGACGCTCCATTGTGTCGATAAAATATTGACACTCGATATTTCGCCTCACTCACTCCGGGCTGGTCCGGAGAAAACGTAGAATCCGCCGTACACGTTTACATAAGTGTCGTCCGCCTTTATCTTCGTCGCTCCCTAATCTACTCCCGCGAGTGTGTTACTTTGGTGTATCTCCTTAGCGAGACCTTATCGCGAGAGAGAAAAAAAAGAGAGAGAGAGAGAGAGAGAGAGAGATCTCTACGTTCCGCGTAACTGGCTTTAACTGTATGCCCTTAACTTGTCAGTTCTAATCCTCCGAATCGCTGTGTCGAATTGGTTTCGTTCGCTACTTTCGAGTTGTTAGGCGACAAACGCGCGAGCCGCACATTCGTCTCTGTAGCTGCTTAATATTGGACACTTCTGTTATTTTTCCAGAGTTTCTCAACGTTTTCTTCTCGGTATAAAAATTTCAACTTTTCTTTCCTCGAAAAAGAAATTAGCTGGCAACGTCTCGCGATTTTTAAATTATAAAATATTAAACAAGTTTTATATTTTATACAGAAAAGTAAGATTGCTTTCTTGATCCAGTATCTACTTCATCACCATTTCCTGATGCTTCTTTCCGGATCAACGAGAAAGAAAGAGAGAGAGACTTCTGAAGTTAATATTTTATAAATATAATATCGCGTTATTATAATGCGACATTATTATTATTACTACAGCATTAACTGATCTGAGAAAATCGTATCGCAACACTGTTATAAAAAAAGTTGGTATTAAAAGATAAAAAAGATAAAAAAGTAATACGGGTTCTCTCCTACGCGAATATGCGTCTTTTCTCACTTACCGTTTTGTTCCCCAAATTTTTGACACGGCAGTTGAGGTACGTGGTCTTTCCCAGCAGGGCGGTCACGTTCTTCGAGGCCGATTTGTCGAAATACGGCCCCAATCGTGTGGTCTCTTCCAGAGCATTTTGGTTGTATGTGTCGCTGCTCTTGCTGCTGCCGCCGTATGGCATGTTGTGGCAGTGCACTTCTGAAACACGGAAAGTCGAAAGAAACGTTGTGTAAATGCGGCAATTTCGATGCTGAAGAGGACATTCGTTCGCGGCGACGTATCTTAAAGCGCACGTACGTATTCTTTGTTCCTACGATTGTTCTTGCATGCCGGATATCGAGAAGCGAAACGTAAGAAGCGAATCTCCTTGTATACGACACCGAGTGTTGTCGGCGCGCGCTGCCATTTACGAAACAGCGTTTCAAGTTTTCTGGCAAACGGAGGAAAAGTTGAAAGTTTAAAAAAAAAATGACTCGCATGGCGAGCGAAAATCAGGATGCACGGTGAATTTTTGTCATGAAATTTTAGACTCTGTGTTACATATTTTATTATCCACAATGAAATATGACCTTCTCAGCGAGTTTAAAGCAAATATTTTGTGAAAAAGTTATAACGACAGGGGAAAATTAAAATTAAATAATAAATAGCGGATATGCTATAATGAAAGCGGATATGTATAATGTTTATTCGTTTGTAGTATGCAACAAAAACACTTTATATACGTCATAGAATATAATTATGATATTAATAATAATAACCGTAATAATAATAATAATAATAATAGCAGCAGTATTACCATTGCTTGCATGAGTAGTTACCATATTATGCTAAACTATTAATTACGCTCGTTAGAAAGTGGGGCTTGCAATGCGTAATGGTTTCTCATTAAAGAGCAAGAGTGCGGGAATGCGCAAATACGCAAGTAGTTAATGAAAAAGGCCGGGGGATCCGAGATTTTAATTAAATGCGCGCAGCCGCTGATAAATAAAATTTGACTGGCATAAAGGGAACAATCCACTTATGGTCTTGGATGCGCAAATTACATGACAAATTGCAGAAAGAAAGCTGAAATCGTAATTAGCGGAACGTAACGAGTGCTTGTCGCTACAAGTAGCGAGGCCATTAACCGCGTTGCTCCTTCCCGCTTGACATTTAGAGGTAACCTATCCCCCCAACGATTTCGCTTTCCTGTTTTCCCTCTTTGCATTTCTGTCTCTCTCTCTCTGTTTCTCAGACACAGGAAATAAGAAAATCACTTGTACCGCAAAGATATTTTCGTTGTAACACGGTGATAGCAACGGACAAAGGAAAATGGTGCGTGCATCATGTAACGCGCTTCTTCTGATAAAAGCTGGCTCGCTTAATTCAATTAAACTTGGCTGAATACATCGTAATACCGACAATAAATGAGTTGTCGAGCGGAACAGCAGCAGAAGTAATTTTCTTCGGAAAACAGTTGTAAAGTTTGGGAAACTGTCTAACATAAAATACGATTATCTTATCACAGTTGACAAACGGGAAAATATGTAAAATTTGACGCCATGCATGCAAAATAGTTGAAGAGAAAGTTTACGTCGAGTTTTCACTTTTACTAGCCTGCATCTCGCTTATCCAAACGAATGCTATCTGAAATATATTAATTGTAGGAAAGGAAAGAGAGAGAGAGAGAAAAAGAGAGCGCGGAGAATATCGACCGATTAATGGCGCAAATATTTATACTTATCTCGGATAAACCGAGTTAAGTGTTTTGAACTGCGAGTAAGCTGGCAATAAACTTCTCGAAGCAAAGTATCATCGTCGCGGACACCCCGGGGAGTTACGAGAATTGTTTATCGGTTCAGGAACTTCGGCGTTGAAACGACGACAAAGAAATAATTTTCTCAAGACGATATCATCTAATTTTCGCAAGTTTAAGATAGGTTTGCTTGTTTCAGGCGTATCACGTTGGCGAGTTCCCACGCAGAAATAAATTAATCAGGATGAATCGCGCGACGCGAATATTCCACGTCCGAGATGGACGAAGTAGAATTTGTCGGAATTAAAAACGTAATTTGCAATTACCTTGCTCGGCCATGCGTGCACAGGATGAACCCGACTCGCTCGGCGTCGTCGCTTCAAATTTGTCAAACTCGTTCAAACGGGCTTTAAACGAACCGAGGCGTTCGAAAAGTAGCTAACGCTATACGAATTATTACGCTTTTGTGCGGGCGCAGTTTATTCATCCTCGGCCGACGTGATCGAGAGCGCGGATGTAATTGGCTGTCGTTGCTGCGATCTCGCAGCAGGCCAACTGCTACCGGCGAGCGGCGAGCGGCGAGCGGCCCGGCTCGTTTCCGCCGGGCCTCGCTATCATACGCTAGTTACGCTCTATTGCCAGGAACCCGGCGAGTATATAATCGAATTTCGTCGCTCTTGATTAGGCCGTGATTACGCGGAGGAGACGCGCTCGCGGCTGATGCGGCAAATATTGAATCTCGGCGCGGCGCAGCCGACGCGCATAATCCGACCTGTTTTCTCTTAGCAACGACACTTTAGGCGCTTCCGAACGTCGCCGGTTATCCCCTCGGGTGGCTGGAGAACTTTATCCGCGACTTTCGTATCGCGAATTCTCCACGGCGTTACTCAACGTTAATCCGTTTTCCTCTCTAGTCTCCGATCTCTTCGCGCTTCTCCGCGCAATCAGCCCCGTCGTTAGATAATATTCACGCGAGAATCCTGTCGCTCTGGCATTGAACAAAGACACGAAACGAATGGGGGAACAAAACTCCCCGGGAGCGATGATCAATTATACACCGGAAGCTGTTTAACGGCAGAAATATCAAATACGAGCGAAAAGTAGCCTGGAGTTTAAACGTGACGTTTTCTTTACTAGTGTTCAGTCGGAGCTGTCATAATAATGATAAAATAGCAACGAGCTTTCAAAGTTTACCTTATATTTCTCAGGATAATGAGATATAATTTTTAATTACCAGCGAATTTCATCGCTTGAAATTGTCATATATTTCTTTTATAATACACTACGCGGTTTTTGAATTAACAGCGGTCTCCGATCGTTGCCCCACGCTTTGTATTATTTACGACGTTACCTTTTATGCACGTACCTATATGAAACAAACGCTGCATCGTGATTGCGGGCGCATATAACGGACAAAACTTTGTTCGCAGCGAGTAGCCCGACAAGTTTCTTTATTAAATTTAGCGAAAGGCTACGAGCAATTTCGACGGGTCTGTTTTATTTGGCGACAAGAAATTCGCGCTCCCGCGAAGGGCCGCTAGGATTGGCCAAGTTTGGAACGAACGGGTTACAAGAGCGCCTGGCCATGCTCGTACAATGGGCTCAGGCTAATTTAATTATGAGTCAACGCCATTGACCACCTTTCCAAGACCTCGCAATCTGCCCCATTTCCTCAATTTCCTTTCCTTCGTCCGTTCATACGGCCGTGACCAGCGTTTTGCTTTTAACTTAATTTAAAAGAGATGCAAACTCAATTTAAAAAGATGCGATATACCCTATCATTTAATAGAGTACCACCTAATTCTCTTGTATATAATCTGAGGCGCGTTTCCAACTGCAATTCAATTGGATAACTTGGCGCATTTTTATCCACAAAAATGAATCTTCTTCTGTATATATGGAATTAACGGGGTAATACACAAAGTGGATGCGTCAAGTAATAAAAAAGACCGGGGAGAGAACTAGGAGCGAGCAAATATAATAATCCGACGCGGCGTATTTCGAATCGCCCTGCTCCTCGCCTTTGTTTCTCGTCTACGGTTTCCAACTGTATCGCATCATCGACAAAAATGAGAATTTATCGCATCGAGACTTGCGAAAATGAGCGTAAATCCGCGCGCTTTCTCTTCGCGCTCGGCGGACACGGTAACGTGCCGTCAGATAGCAATGGCAGGTTTAATCGCGATACTTGTAGCGCGTTTATCTCCCTCGATGGTCCATTAAATCCCGTGGCTCCGGATAATATCGAGTTATGGCTGACGAGCCGCGGAATGCGCGCATCAGCGATTCCCCGGCGCATTTCGAATCGGGGTCGAGACGCGCGCTTCGTTTCGATTCAGTGCTACCGGCACACGATCACGCTCCTTCGTGACCTCGAATCAAGAGGCATGGCAACGGTATGCTTTTGCCTTTCGCGATATTTCGCGAAGGACGTATGTAGACACGCGAGGCGGCCCGGTGCAGTGGGTCGCGTCCTTGCAGCCAGATCCTCTCCTAAATTTCGAGATTTTACGATCCGCAAAGTCGAAGCCGCCTCGTAAAATATCCGCGGCGATGGAAAATCGGACAGGATAAGAAGACACAACCCAGGATGGGGCGAGAGACGCGACATCGGGGACGGGATGTAGCGCCAGTAAAAGACTAGGCAAGAAATAGGAGAAATAGAGAGCTGTAGAGTTATCTTTCAATCTACTCCGAAACCTACCCTCGCCCGGGCGAGGTCGCGAGCAGACGCAACGCCGTCTCTCTCTCTCTCTCTCTCCTGTTTTAAAATTCAGATTCACAACTTTTGCTTAAACGCTCGGTAGATATAGACCGGCGGCTACAGCCCCGTCGTCCTTTCGGTTTTTGCCTCAAGCACGTAGCGTATCTCGAGTCTCGCGAAACTCGCGCGAAGAGTGCTCCAACGAACCTTCGCATGCGCACGAATTCAATTATTACTGTTATTACCAACTGCTGTTATAAATCGTGCGATATATATTACCAGGTCCGTATGACTGAAAGCTCATTGGTCTGTACAAGCAGTGTTGTCAAGTTACAGTCTAATTGCCAAATGAGGGAAACATGGAAATAACTTGGAACATGCCTCGCAAGAAACTTTGCTCGATACTGGAGACGGCAGGAGGAAGGCTTGCACGAAGGCTCGCGTCCTACCCTAAATTTTCCTCCTCCCTCCAAGTAAATTGGCCCCGGCATTAGCGGCCCCTGCCGCGATGCAATTCCGACGGCTGCGCCTCGCCCGAGTTACGTAGGCGCGCACCGGCCAAGTTTACCCATTATTGGCCGAGTCCGAGATTACGGACCGTGTTAAAGTTCGGCTTTGCCAATTGATCGCAAGAAATCGCACGTTGCACGTCCGACACGTACACGTGGCCTCCGCCAAGGATTCGCCGCAGGAACGGAATAATTGCCGGGGGAATAAGATTTGCCGCGATAGCGGGGTATAAGCTCGATAGCTAATGTC